CAGCAAAAGGATGTGACTGCAGAACATATAATATGAAACTGCCGGAAACAAAAGCAGTTGTACAAATCTAAGAAACACAATGTCCAATCCCCAAGAGAAATGAGATTATAATACACTGAGGTTTTTTTCCTTTTATATTTTGAGAGGATTGTATATTTTTTGTTTGCAAATATTTCACAAGTTTCAGGAAATTTATCCCAAACAGAGACAAAAATGACTCTTTACATTGTTTACAGAACCTCAATATATTTCTGACTGAAAAAGACTGTATTTCTAACACGATACTCTTCTCCCTCTCCCCAGCAGCACAAGTTCCCCCTTTCTTGTGGATTGTCTTCAACCTGTGCAAGTCTTGGAAATTATTTCAGATGACCAAAGAGATGCGGTCTTTGACTTGTCAGTCAAACAGATGACTACAGATACCAGGTTTGTCCTAAGTCAAGTTAATTGAAGCTGCCACAGGGCTTAAAAAAAAAGAGCCCTTCTCCCCTCCTCCCAAGCCCAAAGAGTAAAAAACAAATGTACAGCTCACAAATGAAGGGTGTTCCCCACCTCCTCCCCGCCAACTTTGGACCATTCTTTCCCCTCATGTTCCAAAAATGCTGCTTGAAAAATTGTATTGATCTTAAGTGTACAATTCTGTAAAATTTTCAGTATTCTGAAGCTGGGCACACTGCACTACTATCCTTTTCTAAGGTCATTGATGATCACAAGAAAGAGTGATGACTCACATTAAAAATATGAACCAAACATTTATAAAGATTGCTTTAAAGTAAGAATTTAATATTAATTTTTAAGAAAACATGATTTTGCTCACCTTTGAAAGACTCTTACTTTCTTGTCTGACTGGATATGCTTGTTCAGCAGATTCACTGACTACTCCTGAACCATTATAGTGTGTTGAGTTGTTAGACTGATACTGTGAGCCAGCTACTGGATACACATTTGCAACAACATCAGGTGAGTGAGAGCAGCTGGAGTATTCACGGAAGGCAGCATCTCCCAGAACACTATGTGATGGATATTGAGAAAGAAATGAAAGTCATCCTAGAGCAAGTCTTCAGCACCTACTTGTTGTCTCGACAAACATATTCCTTGTCTAAAGAATTTGTTTAACAAGAAAGCTCTATTTCAAAAGGAAACTACTCCATGTTATTTCAATTAAGCATTTACTTACTGCTACAGACTTCTTTAAAAGCAATTAATTTTGTTTTGGGAAAACATGTAGTTAAGCAAATATCTTAAAACACACGCGTTATCCATTTCCAAGTTTCAAAGCTAGTCTGCTTTGCAGTTACAGCTCTCATGCCTGTTTAAGGTTACTGATATTCTTCATGCTTATTTTCAGTAGGCTTTTTCTTGTGAAACAAACCAAAAACACAGTGTAAGGACATGACATGCATCACCTATTTGACTGCAAAAAAACCCCCAAACATTAAAACCTGTCCTAAAATGACAATAACAAAGTGGAAGCATAACATTTTATGGAGTACAAAACATGTATGAAATACAATGTAGAACTATAAAACAATAATTAACTGACCTGCATGTAACCATCACCATTTATGAAAACACAGCATGTCTGGGGCATGCCTCTTTCTTTCAATGTATGCTTAAAAATTCCCTTTCAATTTCCTTCTATACTTTGTCCAGAAAATACACAAGAGTCCAGATTTGATTAGAGAGAATACTAATTTCTCAGTTTCAGAAAGTAGCACTCAGTTTTTAAGGCTTCTCTCCATGAGGCTGCCAGCCTCAGAATTTTTTGTAGATAATGACAGAGAAACCTTCCCATTGGTACAAAAGACCTCAGGCAACACATTTCATACTACCTGTTGCAATTCTGGCAGAATGTTGTCAAAACAATGCTTACAATCAGGTCACACACCAAGAAGAAATATACCAAGTGAGACTCAAATATTACCATGTCTCAGTCCCAATAAGGAGAACACTCATTAGAAGGCTACTCTTGTCTGGGTTGTGGGTTTTTTTACAGCAATTGATTCAATGCTAATGCTGTGAGCTTTCTCTAATGCATAGAACAGGCCATACTCACCTCAGAGTGAAATTTCTAGTAGAATGAAAATAGTTTGAAAATACTAAGATTTCCTGTAGGACAAAACAATGGCCTACGATGGTTGTGTTCACTAATGCTCTGAATTTTTAAAGAAACACCATTAACTTTGCAGTAATTGTATAATCGATCCAATGCTTAAGGCCCTAAGAAGCGATGAGAGAACTATGTAACATATCAGATTCTTACAAGACTCAACTATTTCCTATTCCGCTATGTATATTTTTTTCTAGTTTGCTCCTTATAAAATACTTTTATAAGTCTACCACAAATACCATTCCTGGACTTTAATAGAAAAATCCCAAAACTTTCAGAAACCTGTAGCATTTCTAGTAAACCTGCCTTTCTGGAGATGCACAGGTTGTGGAGAGGAGATCTAGAAGAGGCCCTATATACTAAATATTTTACAGGAAGAGAAATCTTCTTGAAGAATCATTTTCCTTGTGTAGAACTACATCTACCTCAGCCTGGTCGCAACACAACCATTCTTTCATTCAAGGACTGAATTCAGCTCCTTCCAAAACACACGAAAAACAGACCAATCATTACAGAACACCACATTCTCCTTAACACTCTGTAACTATACAGGCCCTTGTGAACAAAGACCAGGTACCTGGTATACACCCAGAGAACATAAATGTAAAAAACTAAATCATGAAGATAATGCAGAAGCATTTCTACAGTTGGACTAGCAGTATATTGGAACTGTGACTTCTTAAGAGTACTCAACATCCAAAACCAGATGGTTAAAATCCCCCAATAAATAAGATTCAGAAAATATACATACTTATCCAAAGATGGTTCCTGAACAAATGGGTAGCATGTAGTTAAGTACCTAGGAAAGACACATGCTTCTGAGGGTTCTGACCATGCCACAGTTACCGCCGCATGCTTTGGAACAAATGGTTTGACCTCTGCTGACAACTTGATGCCCTGAGAAACAAAACGTTTTTTGGCTACATGCATTTGGAGATTAATGTTATTACGTGAAAAACACTCAGTTTCGTGAGCTTAACTCTCATTGGAAAGTGTTAGTTTGCTCTCTTCTATCAAAACATGCAAAACAACAAAGCTCATCAAAAGGAAATGGAAAAACAAAGTGAAAATAAAACTAAGGAAATCAAAGAAACATCTGGCTGCTCTGTAAAGTCACTTAATACCCTCATTCATCATGAAACAGTCACAAACAGTCACTCATGTAAAGGACAGAAGCCTGCTTAGAACAAAATGCAGTAAATGCAAATATATGAATTCTTACTTCATATTTGAACAGTAAAAACTAAAATTCATAAATATGCTAACACTACTGTTAATCAAGCTCCATAACATGTATGTATGTAACAATAATGACTTTGTGCACATCTGTATTTGAAGGCTGAAATAATTTTATAGCCTTCTTGATTCTAGCACAACACAAATTTATTAAGACAAGCTTTCCATTTGTTCTGAATTACCATCGACTTAAACTGGGTATGTATATATGGAAGGACAATGAAATGAAACTCGGAGTATTTACTGCCATGTCATCAAAACACATGGCAGGAAGCAACAGCGACTGCAGCCTCATCACTAAGACTCCCGAACCTGACTAGGTCATAGGTCCATGTGTGTAGCACTACCACTACTGGCTAGAATCTGGTCACGCAGCCTTACAGTGTCTGGGATGCACACCTGTCCTTGCAACAGACCCTTAGTGAGAAAAGGTTTCCACACTTGAGCTCGCTGGAAGTTAATGTCTGGAGCTGCCCATCCCAAACGGTGGGAAACGACTCGTTGTGCTCCAACCTGAGCGACCCTTGTCCCCCGGATTTGACCTTCCAGAAGGACCCTTTGCCCAGTCCTGAACCAAAGCCTGATCCAAGGAGCGGTGGGAGTCACCCTGCCCGGAGAAGCATATGGGCAGCCGGAGCGCTCGGCCCAGCCTGGCGAGCGGCCCCCGGGGCGGGGAGCGGCACGGAGGTGCGGCCCGAAGCGACCCGCCCCCAGGCGGCTCCTGGAGAGCGACTCCTTGCTGGGAAGAGCCAGGGAAGGGGCAGGGGACTGCAGGTGCCGCCGCCGCCCTTACCTCGCCGCCGCGGCCCGAGCGCGGCCGCCTCTCGGCCGACATGGCGCGGGGGGCGCGGCCCCGCTCCCGCCGCCCGGCCCGGCGCAGGGCGCGCCGCGATGACGCCGCGGCCCCGCCCCCGGTGCCGTGCGCGCGGCCGCTCCCGGCGCCGCATAGCGGGCCCCGTGCGGGAGCGGCGCCGGCAGTGCTCGGGACTCGGCCGAGCTGCCCTGCGACAGGCGCGGCCCCTCCTGTGCCATAGGAGAAAGGACGGCACGGAACACAGGCACGCACTCACCCGTGACAGGCACCCAGGCCGCGGTAGTAACATTCAAGGGAAAATCACGACCTAAGCAGATGATTAGTGAAGGCGCTTGCTTCAGACTTGGACAGACCTGCTCTAACCAGCCTGGTCCAGACCAGCACTTGAGGCAGACATCTCTGGTTCTTTTCCTCACCAAACTTTCCAGATTACTTCGTCTGCTCCACTAGAGCTCACATTACAGAAGCAGAGCACACACTTCACCCTGTGTGCTGGCCCTCCCACGCCCTCTTTACAGCTTCTGTTGGCCTTCCAAATTGTGCACAACCACAGCACAATTAGCCTGTGAAATGAACCCGTTTCTCTCGAGAGTTACTCAGTATACAGAACCACCTCCCACAAAGGGTAGGTGATAAAGTGGATGCAAGACAGGAAGAGCAGGCTACAACCCCAGAGTAAAAAATAATCGGCATTGGCAAAGTTGAACAAAGGAGCCTTAGAAGCTCTTCAAAATACTGAGTACTACTCAACCCTAAGTTTATACGTAGTTCATCAAATGAGTTTTGTTTTTTGAAGCAGGCAGTCTTAAAAACATTAAATCACAACTCCAGACACTGAGGTTTCATAACACATTTAAGAAGTTTATTTCTTAAGCCTACTTACTACTAAACAGTTGAACTACTGGATTTGAACATACTAGACTACAGCAGAAAACTTGAGTGCAAAAGTTACAGAACACTAACAAGTGATGAGCTAATTAGAACATGCAGCACAAACAAAATTTAAGTCAGAGAGGCACTTACATTAACATTAAAAGATAAACTCATCACTCTTTGAACATCATAGCAGCCTGCTTGGAATTGCATTTGACTGAGCTTTGTTGCTGTGAATAATACAGCTCATGCACAGGTTCGGATGTATGTTTGGTAAATTTAAAGTATTCACTGAATATATCCAACATATATACATTCCTATACATAGTTCCAGAAGATTCAAAAGGCCAAGGCTTATTTCTGCTCATCCTTTGGAAGCGGTCTTCTGAAGAGCAGAATATGTGGTTCTGCGGAAAGAAAATTGAACAAAGTGTGAGTTTGTACAAATCTTGATTAAAGCGATTTCTGTAATCTTGAACGATAGTTGAGGCTTAGTTTCAAATAAATAATTAGAAAGTCTAAGTATAGCCCCACGTGTAATATTAACAGACCAAGTACGCAGTACTTTTACAACAGTCAAATTTTTATTTTTGTACCCAATGCTGGCAATATCATAAGTTTAAGAGCCTTACAGGAGAGAAATGCTAGGAAAATCCAGAGTATTTTATAATGTCTCCTCACATTGGGCTACTTGATAAACACTATTACTGTAACTTTGACAAACTGCTGATACTGTCTGTTGGGCACATATGAAACACCAACAAAATCCACCTTGGCTAATACAGCCTGCTCACCTTATAATCAGTCTTCTTAATTTTAAATGCCTCCAAAAAAGTCTAAAATATCAAAGGTACCCAAATAAGGGAAACACTGGAAAGCTATGCTCATTTTATCACCTGATTCTTCAGAAACTTGGAACTTCATGCTGCTGCAGTTTACATTACTTTTTAGTCAAGCTAGTCAATGGCACAAGCCTGGAATGGCTGATCCCGTAATACCAACATCCTAGTTAGTAAGGGTCTTAGGCTTTCACACCCCATTAACTGAAATACTGATTTTTCAGGAGGCTCTACAACTAGAGTTAAAACTATCCTCTAGAATTTTCAGAGGATTAATACAGGACCTTGTCTACACGAGCATCTATCAAGTTGTTGTACAAAAAAGTAGGTGTCATAAAGTCAGCTTTATGACTAAAAGATATGCTGCTCTATTAAATTTGGTTCAGTCACTGCATACTTATGTTATTTAAGAGCTCACAAAAAGCCTGTTTCTATGGGCAGAGGCAGGAACATCTCCAGTCTGATATTTGACTTTTTCGTTTGCCTAATTCTGTTCAGATGTGCTCACCTGGCTCATGGATCATATAGTGAACCCAGCCAAGACTCTGCTGAACACCAAGTCGTCTCCACTCTTCTTCAGACATCAGATGAGATTTTGGCACCTGTTTTGAAAGTTCTCGTGGCAGCATCACATGTCTGTAGAGGTTTAATTATTAAATGCATACACAAAATACTATACACTAGAAAATTGGAAGAGACCTGCACTGACAGTTACTGCGTTATGAACGCTCACTTGGTCTATAAAAAAAACAAGAGTACTGAATTTCGGCATGAATTTGATTATGAAAGCCGTCCCAGAACCCAGTTTAAAATCACTTACGACTATTAAACGTTACATCTGTAAAGCAACTGCAAATTGGGAGCCAAACTGTCTTCTAGATGAGATTTAGAACCCTTCAGACTCCAATGACTATATACTCAAAGAAACATGCGCTCCTGGCAACAGGCTGATATATCAGCTACTTGAAAAATAAGAACTTTGGACTTCTAAAGTATTTGTAATACCGATTTCAAGTCTAGAAGAGTTAAACTTCAACAGTTCTCCGTCGGCAGGGGACGACGCTGCCCCATCCCAGGCTCTGCCACAACTCCTTCCCTGGAGCTGGCGCAGCGGTTATGGCCCCTCCGCCCTCACCCTGTGGCCAGAGCTTGTGGGGGCCGCTCACCGAGCGGTCTGCGCCAACCGGTAACAGCATTCGGTCACTCGTCCCCTTCGTCCCACCAGTCCAAAGCCACCCGGAAAGCCCCCACGGAGGGGTTCGGCACAGCCCCTTCCCGCTGGCCTTGCACCCTCTCTGGCTCTATTCTGCCGGCGGAGCCGCCTCATTCCCTGAGAGCAGCCCGCATACCTCAACCGAGGGGCCTGCCCGAGCTGCCCGCCTACGGACCAGCTCCTCCTAACCGCTCCAGCTGGCCCTCACGCACCCTCCTACAGCTTCTTACCGGTACTCGTACTGCTCATCAGAGTACTTATCGGAATAGTAGATCTGCTTGTGGGCCATGGCGGGCGGCAGCGCAGGCTGGAGCAGCGGGACGAGCAGCGGCCTCAGGTGACTCCCTCACGGACGCCTCGCGCACTAACTGCCCCCTTCCGCGCCCCGCACCGTTTGAATCCAGCGGCTCGACTCCCATTGGCTCTCGCCGGAGCCGGCCAATCGCGTGCCGCGCTGGCGCGCCCCACCAGAGCCCGCCGCCGCGTGACTCGCGCGCTCGCCGCTCCCAACCAATCCCCGGCGATTGCGGCGGGCGGGGGAGCGTTACGTAACAGGCGGTAGCGGTCGGGCAGACGGCGGCTCGGGCCCGAAGCGGGGAGGCGGGGCTAGCAGGGGGAAGGGGCGCGGTTGATGATTGGCCAGCGGCAGTCGGGGCAGGCGCGGCTGATGATTGGCCATCGGCGGCCGGGGCAGGCGCGGGCCCTTTCAGCCTACGGCGGGGGGGGCGGGGTGGGGCCGCTGCGCCCACGTCGCACATGCGCAGCTCGACCCGCCGGTCTGCGCCATTGCTTTCCGCTGCTGCGCTCAGCCCGGCCCGGCTCAGCCATGCCTTGCCGTGCCTTGCCTTGCCGTGCCTTGCCTTGCCTTGCCTTGCCGTGCCCTTCCCTTCCCGAGTTGGCCGGGCTCGGCTCGGTCCAGTCCCCGGTGTACAGAGAGCCTGCGTATTTCAGAGTAGTGAAGGAGTCATGCCTTCGTCCTTTTAACTGAGCGTCGTGTTCACTTTAAAATGGTGCTGTCCCCTCGCTGCCGGGTAGCTGCTGTAAGCCCGTGGTGTCCTGGGGCGCAGCTGTCGGGAATGGCTGCACCGTCAGTCCTGTTTGGTCAGCGTGACCCAGATAAAACGCGGGGTGCAGGTGTGCCCAGAACTGCGGGCAGCATTTCAGTTACAGCAGTTTCAGCATTAAGGATGTTACAAGCATCCTTAACAAGATAAACAAACCATGGAATGCTTCCCTGGGAATGCGCGTATAGCAGGCTGCCACGGTTTGCTGGGAGGTGCTATGGGTCCCCAGATAAGCCGTGCTACTTCTGCCTTGTGGGATGAGATAAGCACGGTGGGAGAGATAAGCCAGAAAGAGCGATCCCGCGGTCGCTTTCATTGAATCATGGAACCATGGAGTGGTTGGAAGGGGCCTGAAGGATCACGTCGTTCCAGGCACAAACCGTGAATACATAGGGACACCTTTCTCCAGGTCAGGTTGCTCAGGTTGAATACCTGGCTGTGAACACCCCCGGGATGAGGCACCCACGGCTGGCCTGGGCAGTCTCTTCAGGGCTTCATGCCCTTGCAGTAAAGAGTTTATTAATGTCTAAATTCCTCCCACTCTCCATGCCTCCTGCCCGTGGTGTACTCCTCTCTCCTCTCCTGTCCTTGCTGGGCCTCTGCAGAAAAAAGGAGCTAAGTCTTTAAGGAAGTTTTTGCTTCCTTGGTGCTGCCAGAAACGTGGGTACTGCCTGTGGTTATGTAATGCATCTGTCTGAAAACAGTTCTGATGTAGGAAAAAAACCAAGCAAATCCATGTGATGCATGACTGCTGATACACATGCGTGGGTAATAGGTATGATTTTTTTAGTAGCATTGTTTCTACTGGCACTCCAGCTTGCCTTAAACAAAAAAAGTTTAAGCCAGTCTCACACCGTGCAACCATTAAAAGAAGTGCTTCTCATAATCTAGCAGTAATATTTTTCTCTTAATTTGACTGCATATTAGAGCTTGTTAGGCACAGGTCATTTACAGGAAAAATGAAGTCTCTGTTTTTGAACTGGTCTAGCTGAATGTGTGAAATCTACATAACGAATTTATATTTCAGTATAATTGTAAAAGTACAAACCACCTGCAAGTTTTCTGAAGTTTTGGTTAGGTTATTCAAAATAGACAGGTTTGGAGTTTTTTAGTGTAATTTCAGGCAGCACAACTGTTATTTTTATATACTTGAGGCAGAATGTACACAATGATTTCTGTTAGGATTATCACTGTGTAATGATGAGGAAGAAAGATCAAACCACCATGATGGTGGATGAAGGACATTTCCTCTCTGTGTCTTCTTTTATAAGCTTTCTGCTTATCTCATGCATACTGAACGTGAGAGAAAATTGGTCTTTATGTAAGGCTGTGTGTAAGCCTTTCTCCTTTGAGTTCGTTCAGAAGTGAAAGGGGACATCATGCTCTTGACCAACCTGATAGAGAGCGAGGGACAGAGCAGTTTTTGCAGAACTTCTGCAAGGCTTTTGGCTCCAGGCTCTACCTTGAAAGAGAAGCAGTTAATGTGTGGACTGGGTGTGCAGACAGTGACCTCAGGTGAATGGCCAGACCCAGAGGATGGTGACACATGACACAAGTCTATTTGGAGACCAGGAAGTGTCCCAGGGGTCAAAACTGGACCTGAGCCCAGTTTTTAACATCTTCATTAATGACTGCGTGGTAGGGCAGAGTGTACTCTTGACAAGTTTGCAGGTGACACCTAGCTGGGATGGGTAACTGAGAAACCACAGGGTTGTGCTGCCCAGTCAAGGAACTGCAGAAATAGGCTGAGAGGACCTTCATGAAGTGAGGGGAACAGGTGGAACAAGGTGAAGAGCGAAGTCCTGCACCTGTGGAGGAACAACCATAGATAGGCATTAGGCACGAGTACACGGTGGGAACTCCCCAGCTGGAGATGTGTTTTTCAGAAAAGGAACCAGGGAATTCTGATGAGCCCTGATCTGAATGTGACCCAGTGCTGTGTCCTTCCAGTAAGGATAGCTGGCAGTGCCCTGGGCTGCAGTAAGGCCAAGTGTTGCCAGCAGATTGAGGGAGGTCATCCTGCCCCTCCATAGAGCACAAGTGAGTCCTCTGCTGGTGCCCAGCTTTGGGCTCCTAACTGCAAGAGAAAGGTGGAGCTGCTGGAGAGAGTTCAATGAAGGGCGACAAAGATGAAAACCTGTGTGTGAAAACCTGAAGGCAGGAAGCAAAGAAGACCAGAACCAGGTGGTGCCCGCTGGCAGGCCCAGAGGGCACAAACTGAAATGTGGGATGTTCCTTATGAACGTCAGGAAGGCTTTTTTACTGTGAGGCAGATGGGACACTGGCACGGAGCTGCTGGAGTCTCCAGCTTTGGAGACCTTCCAAAGCCATCTGGACATGATTCTGAGCAATGGGCTGTAAGTGACCCTGCTTGAGCAGGGATGTCAGACCCCATGAATTCCAGAGGTCCGGCCTCAGCCACGCTGTGTGGTACTGCATGAAACAGGCGCTTCATCACTGTCTTCAGGATACTGTTACTCACAAAGGCTGTGTCAGTCACATTGCAAAGAAGGAAATAAACTGTTCTCTACAGTTTGGAGAGAACAAAAATGCTTGAACTTTGTCAAGGCAGCTTTGTCTACACCTGAGGAAGCATTTCTTATCAGTACATAATTTTAATGTTTTAGAACATTTCTGGAAAAAAATTGTTTTCTGCAGTAATGTTTTAGGTCAAACTCATCCTGTCTCTTTCTTTGAGGCCTGCTTTCTATGTTTGTGTCAGTTATGCTTTCCCACTGCAACTTTTGCAAATACAGAGTGTACAACAAAAGTCATTTTTTTCTCTCCTGTGCTTTAGAATGACCTTTTAATTTTAATTGTTATATGTTTTCATATTTGAAGAAGTTATTTTCTGGAATTAAGATTATCAAGTGGTGACTTGAATCCTCACTCCAAAGATTCTGAACTAGGTCAGAAGTGAGTGAGACCATAAATACCCATATTTATTAAAGCAAAAGGCTGCTCAGAAGCCTTATCATATACCTTTGCCTCAGCATGTTGAAGGCGTGTATTAAAGCATTTATAAAAGTAGTTTACCATAGCACAGATTAAAAAGTATCCCACATAGCCTTGGGGTATAGGTTTGTTTGGAGAAACGTGAGCGAGCTGTGCAACTGGAATGTAAGCTCCTGCTCAGAGACCTGATTAGGGCAGCAGCTGTGATTACATTGCTGTTGAAACACAAGATAAAGTGGCAGAACACAAAGAGAATATTCTTGAGCATCCCTCCCCCCTGTAGCTGTAACACAAGCACGTATAAAATGGAGCACTATTATTCTGCACTCTGTATGTGAACAGCATGACTGTAGCACAGAGGCTCTTCAGATCTAAAGATGGACTATGAACTTTTTTGTGGGGGGTGATTTTGTGTATCTAGAGAGGAACAGGTTTAAATGCTCTGTGTAACCTGTTTGCTTGTTACTAAGGCATCCACAGAGATAGGTGGGTAGTGTTGCAATGAAGGGCCCATGTAAGGCCTTCATGTTACATGAAGGGTGCCTTAACTATTGCATATGGAAAGTTCAGGATGTAAGTTATGGTATGTGGAAATATTTTCTGCACTTTTTGTCAGAAGGAGGAGATGAAAAAATTCCTATCTGTGTTGTGCATAGCAGTCTCTAATTAAAAGTCTCTGCAGCTTTTCCTGTTTAGTTCTGTGAGATATTTTAAAAAAGAAAAGTTTTATGTACTTCTACTGTGCTTCAGTTTTCAAACATGTCCTTATAAAACACTAATGTCAGATGCTTGAAAGTATTTTTCTGAATAGAATAGCAAGATCAGAGTGAAGGAACCTTTTGTACTCTCTTCATGAGTCATAATCATATACACAGTTAATAACTTTTGAGTAATTTGAATGTGAATCACATTCATAGCACATATAGATGAACTGTTATGCGCGAGGGCGTCCACGGCCCTATGTCCGGCTAGCTGAAGGGGTGAAAATGGCCGACGCCCCTACGCATAGGAAGCCAGCCCGCTTCGGCGTCTTTGGCCTCAGGCTGGGCTGGATGTTGTGCTCGGAGTTGCGCTATGTGAGACGAAGAAGGAGGCGACCACTTGCTGGGGGTGCGAAAGTCGTTTTATTTGGTGGTCTGGAGGCACCAACGAAGGTAGGCACCAGCCAGCAAAATGGCCCCGATCAAGGGGAGAGACCGGGTTTTAAAGGGAAGGGGAGGAGAAGGGAGGGAAGCCCAGCTATCCAATGGGGAAACTCAAAGGGAGATGTTAATCATAACTTACATACATAAGTAACCAACGGATACAAAGTAAAGGAGGGGCCCCAGGACCACAGCCAACCACAACCGCCAGAGAGAAGAAGGTTCTCGAAAGCTGGGAGGAGAGGGGGGTGATTGACTGGGCCCAGGGAGGGGAAAACATTTACTTATAAGGGAGAATAGGGGAGGGGGGAATTATATAATACAACTGACTGAAGGTCTGGGTTACTATGGAGACCAACTGCCAGGGGAGCAGTGGCGGGAAAACTGTGGAGGGAGGAACCATTTACAGAGGACGGGGGGATATCATACATAGAATGGGGGAGCAAACTGAAAAACTTAAAAACACACCACAATATCTCCCCGTTTCTTAAC